GAGTGCAGCAGCATGATCTCTGCTCACTGCAGCCTCAGCCTCCCAGGTTCAAGCAATTCTCCTGCCTCAGCCTCCTGAGTAGCTGGGATTACAGGCATGCACCACCACGCCTGCCTAATTTTTGTATTTTTAGTAGAGACCGTTTCACCGTGTTGGTCAGGTTGGTCTCGAACTCCTGACCTCGTGATCTGTCTGCCTTGGCCTCCCAAAAGGCTAGGATTACAGGCGTTGATTGGCTTTTAAAAGGTTTTATTTAGGTATCTCTATGAAATTTTTTAAATTAGGTAGTTATTTCATATCTCTTGTTGAATAATTCCTTAAATATATTGAGGCTAACTTATTCTCTACGTAAAAAGCTTTGTAATTTTTCAAATTCAGGCAATACAAAAGGATGTAGAGTGAAGACTAAGTCCCCTTTCCATATCCCTTACTGCCCTACTTCCTTTCCCCAGTCACTGTTTTCAATTTCTTAATCCATCCTGCCAGCATGTAGAAGTGCATACCTGCATCTTCATCTTTTTTTATGGTAACAAGTTCTTCACTTGAGTTTGTCAGTAAAAGTGTGTATTGGAGATTTTCCTATCAGCATGCTTGGATATGCTTGTTGTTTTAAAGGGTACCATAGAATTCTGTTTATGGATACACTGTATAATGTGTGTGTTCATGTGCATTGCCCCCTACACACATATAAAGACCACCTAAGATAGAATTAGCTACCTTTTTGATAGCCACGTCATATTCCTGGCTCACTGTGCATGTATCAGTCAAGACCATGTCTTTTTTTTTTTTTAAACGAGATGGTGTTTCGCTCTTGTTGCCCTGGCTGGAGTGCAATGGCTTAATCTCCACTCACTGCAACCTCTGTCTCACTGGTTCAAGCGATTCTCCTGCTTCAGCCTCCTGAGTAGCTGGGATTACAGGCATGTGCCACCATGCCCAGCTAATTTTGTATTTTTAGTAGAGAGGGGGTTTCACTGTGTTGGCCAGGCAGGCTGGTCACAAACTCCTGACCTCAGGTGATCCGCCCGCCTCAGCCTCCCAAAGTGCTGGGATTACAGGCATGGGCCACCGCGCCTGGCTGTCTTTTTTTCAAACAAGTTGCTATTGCTTAGTTATGGCTTCCTTACTCTGTTCTTGGGGGAGTGTGTGTGTGCGTCTGTGTCTGTGTGTGCACACTTTTTTTTTTTTTTTTGAGACAGAGTTTCGCTGTGTCACCCAGGCTGGAGTGCAGTGGCACGATCGTGGCCCACCGCAACCTCTACCTCCCTGGTTCAAGCAATTCCTCTGCCTCAGCCTCCCAAGCAGCTGGGATTACAGGTGCATGCTAACATGACTGGCTAATTTTTTTGCATCTTTAGTAGAGATGGGGTTTCACCGTGTTGGTCAGGCTGGTCTCGAACTCCTGACCTCATGATCCACCTTACTTCAACCTCCCAAAGTGCTGGGATTACAGGCGTGAGCCACTGTGCCCAGCCGCGCACACTTTTTTGCTATAAGCCAAATCTTGGTAAAATTGCATCTTGTATTTTCTTACTACTAAATTACTTGCCTAGAAGTAACATTCAATCTTTTTTTTTTTAAACCATTGAATCCTTTGTGCGACTGAAATTTAGAAACAGATAAATGGCCTAACTTGTGTTGGGGCCTAGAGCCCGTCTAAGTCCTCTTCATTGAGGTGGGACCGTGGAGCACAGTTGAAAATTGTGTCCTAGATAATACAAATGGGAAAGCCTTTTTGATAGATACTGGTGAAAAATTACTGCTTGGACCAAGGTGCCAAGAGGTTTGGGCAAGTTCTTCAGCCTCAAGGTGAGTTTCCACAGAACAAGATAACAAAGACACCTCAGTAAAACTGAGAATGTTCATTTCATAAACTTAACGTCTCATAAACATAAATAAGGGGTTTCACATCAGGCCATTTGCACTTGTAACCTATTTTTTTCAGTGAAAAAACTGACGCCCCAGGGAGATTGTGTTTGAAGCAATTGCATTTTAGTTTGATCCAGGATTTAAGCTAAGTTTTTTGCCTCAACACTTTCTGTCCATACTACCTTGTAGAATTTCTTATTGGGAAATAAGAAACATCTACTGTATAAGATATCTTTAGGTGGGAAGAAGATTTTTTTTAGGTGATTTATGAGTATGGGGACTGTTGGTGGACTCCTATGTAGATGTTTGTGTTTACTGAGTTGGGCCTACCTTCCCCAGAGTGCTGCTCTATAAAAGGCAGTGTTCACATTGATAATTGAGGCACAGGAGGATAGCTCTTCGGGAAGGAAGCAAGCCTTCTGCATGTTGTAGCTAGAATATTTTCTTACACTTGCATATGTGGTGATTGTAAAGTTGGTAACCAGACAGGGAGAAGATACACAGTTGATGCTAAGTATATATTTGCTAAAGAAATTTGAATGTATTTTGAGGGAACTTGACTGAATTTGTTAGCAACTGGAAATTTCTTACAGGATTAGTGTGACTTGTTTTCTTTTCTAAACAGACCGGAAGGAAAAGATTATGCCCTTCATTGGCTAGTGCTGGGGACTCATACGTCTGATGAGCAGAATCATCTGGTGGTTGCTCGAGTACATATTCCCAATGATGATGCACAGTTTGATGCTTCCCATTGTGACAGTGACAAGGGTGGTAGGTATATTATATATTCCAATATTGATGTCAAAGGGAATGTGCCTCGTTCAAAGCATATGCTACTAAAACTATACTATTAGCTTTTGGCCCAGTAATTTTAACTCTAGGACTTTATCCTACAGAATTACTCACCCACATGTACACAAGGGATTTTAATCGTAATTGCAGAATTTAAAAATTAAAATCAACCTAGTAACCCAGATGTTGGTTAAGCACATGATATGTTTGAAATACTACTCAGCAATTAATGAGAAAGGCCAGGTGCCATAGCTCACACCTATAATTCCAGCACTTTGGGAGGCTGAGGTGGGAGGATTACTTGAGTTGAGGAGTTCAAGCCCAGTCTGGACAACATAGACCTCGTTTCTACCAAAAATTAAAAAAAAAATTTTTTTTTTTAATGAGAAAAATCTGTATGCACTGGTATAGGAAGGTATCCAAGATAAATTAAGTGAATACTTGTTATGTGTAATTACTGTGTTCCACTTTGGTAGAAGTAATATATGTTGGTGTGTGCATAGGAAAAAAATCAGGAGATGACATATACATCAAACAATAGTGACACCAAATGGTTAATACTGGGGTTTTTTTTGTTTGTTTGTTTGTTTGGAGGGAGGGCGGGAGGGAGGGAGGGAGAGGCAGTAGTGCTATGGTTAATTTAGGAATCTGTTGGCTGCTTTTTTCGTTTTGATTTAGTCAAACATACTCTCCTGTTTTGGTATTCTCATGACCACCCCAAGTTTGGTGATTTTGTTAGGACTCAAAAGAGCAAATTATACTTGTGGCTAAAGTTTATTACAGTAAAGAACACAAAAGCACCAGGAAAAAGATGTACATCGGCAAGTTCAGGGAGGTCTGGCACAAGTCTTGTCCAAGGCCACACAGGATGTGCTTTCTCTCTGGCAGCAGACTGCAGGGACATGTGTGAAATATCTCTGCTCAGGAAGACTGTTTGGGTCTTGGGGTCTGAGGCTTTCCTGGGGGACTAGTTGCATAGACACATCCTGCTGACAACCAGCCATGGCAACTGAAACTTGAGGACCCAAGTAATAAAAACTGAGGACCCCAGTAATAAAAGCAATAATCAATCTTGATATCTACAAAGCAACCCTGACAAACTGGTACAACATGGTCCATTGCTCCAGGTGCACACCACAAAATCATCAGTTCGTCAGTGACAGAAAGAATATTCTGGGGTGGATGTTCCCAGGAGTTTGCCAAGGGTCACTAATGGTCCCAGTGTTCCTCAGATTCCAGGGCTAAGCAACCAGACTGCTGTGTTAACTCTTTCTTCACAGTCCCAGATGGCTTAATGCTATCAGCACTTCCTAATACATGGTTTAGGGTTTTTTTCTTATTGAAGGTAAAATGTGGTGGCTCATGCCCGTAATCCCAATGCTTTGGGAGGCCGAGGCAGGAGGAATGCTTAAGCCCAGGCCGGGGCACACAGAGAGACTTTGTCTCTATCAAAAAATAAATTAAGCCAGGCGCGGTGGCTCACGTCTGTAATCCTAGCATTTTGGGAGGCCGAGGTGGGTCGATCACCTGAGGTCAGGAGTTCAAGACCAGCCTGGCCATCATGGTGAAACCCCATCTTTAAATAAATAAATAATAAAAATAAATAAATTAAAACTTAGCCATATGTGATGGTACATGCCTATAGTCCTAGCTACTTGGGAGGCTGAAGGGGGAGGATCCCTTGAGCCCAGGAGTTTGAAGCTACAGTGAGCCAGGATCACACCACTGCCCTCCAGCCTGAGCAACAGAGCAAGATCCTGACTCAAAAATATTACATTTTCTAGTATAGTGAAACTACTAGGTTGTATGGTGTATTCACTGTTAACTTCATAGAAAACTATTCTCCAAAGTGATTTACCCAGTTTGCCACTCCCACAATTTACAGTTCATTCCCTAACAATTTTATGCATTATTTCTTTAAATATTGGGGGTTTCTTGTTTTTGTTTGTTTTGAGGCAGAGTCTTGCTGTGTCACCCAGGCTGGAGTACAGTGGTGCGATCTTGACTCACTGCAACCTTTGCCTCCTGGGTTCAAGTGATTCTCATGCCTCAGCCTCAAGAGTAGCTGGGATTACAGGCGCCCACCACCACGCACTGCTAATTTTTGTATTTTTAGTAGAGACTGGGTTTCATTATGTTGGCCAGGCCGGTCTTGAACTCCTGGCCTGAAGTGATTAGCCCGCCTCAGCTTCCGAAAGTGCTGAAATTACAAGCATGAGCCACCACATCTGGCCTGAATATTGTAATCAGAAATTTTTAAATGGCTTTTAGTCCTGAGGTATGTATTTACTGGGCTTGCAGTTTAACAGTCTCTGCATAATGATGTTAATACATTATTAAAGTTACGTATCTAGTATATTCTAACAAGTAGCTGACATAATTCAGTTAATGCCTTTGTTAATGTTCAGTTATATATATATATATTTTTTTTTTTTTTTTGAGACGGAGTTTCGCTCTTGTTACCCAGGCTGGAGTGCAATGGCGCGATCTCGGCTCGCCTCCTGGGTTCAGGCAATTCTCCTGCCTCAGCCTCCTGAGTAGCTGGGATTACAGGCACGCGCCACCATGCCCAGCTAATGTTTTGTATTTTTAGTAGAGACGGGGTTTCACCGTGTTGACCAGGATGGTCTCAATCTCTTGACCTCGTGATCCACCCACCTCGGCCTCCCAAAGTGCTGGGATTACAGGCTTGAGCCACCACGCCCGGCTCAGTTATATTTTTTAATGGATATGATTATTAAGACAGTGACTTTTCAGACTTTTAAGTTTGAGGAAACAAAGCTCTGTGTTCAAGGTAAATCCTACTTGGAAGCTTTTTTTTTTTTTTTTGTTTTAGCTAAAGGAATCAGGAAACTTGAGTATTTTTGTAGCAGAAGGGTTAGAGCCACTGGAGTCCATGGAATAGGATGTTGAAGGTCAAGGTGGAGCAGGTTTGGAGCAGTCTCGGGAGGGAGGACATAATTGGATCAGGAGTGGTCTTAGGACATCAAGGCACACTTCTTCCATTGACACCATGGTACCGAAGGTGTTACGAGGTATAAGGGTCCTTTTGCTTGTGGCCACATGAGAGTAGTGGGTAGAGAATCTTTGGAATAATCATGTGGATTTGAGAATGGTTTTCAACCACACAGAAATAGTAAGCTATGTTTACTTCAAAGGAATGGCTAGATACTGATGTTAAGACATGGAAGCCAGTTTCATTAGGCATTCCCATATAGAGCTGGCTGAAACTGAGAAATGGTTTGCTCCTTTTGGTGTTTTCTCCAGGCCCCAGTCTATTTTACTTCTTACCTGCCTGGCTCCAATAGGCATTTGTGTTAGTTTTCCTTGACCTGAGACACAGGGTGAGTTAAAACGGAATGTGCAAAGAAAAGGCAACATGGGTCAGGAAGAAATAACACAATTGTAATGTGAACCATCCTATCTTTTTACATGTCAGCAACTAATTCAAGTTTTTAATCTATGAGCACAAAAAAGAATGTCCTTGTTTGCTGCTCTTTGCTTAGATGTTCTCTACTTACATTCTTTCTGTTAATATGTTGCTACTTCTTGGAAGTTATCATACTTTTTATATGGCTTTGTTACTTTACAAGGCCTTTTTCATGATTATTTGATACTACAGTCTTATTCACACACCAGATGGAGAGGATAACCTTGGCACTGCACTAGCAGTTAAACCAAGTATGCTAGCAGGGCCAACATATGTGTGTTTAGGGACGGGCAGGGGTTAGCATGGGTTTTTGATTAATTTGAGGATGCTCCTGACTTTAGACTTGAAGAATGTTCATACTCCTGAGGGTAAAACCTTTCCTGTTTTGTTGAATCCTAAAATAAGATGCTGATTCAGTGCAGCACTTTCAAATGAGTTATATTTGAACTAAAAAACTGTTGTCGCAATTATATGGTTATTTGAAAGCTCAGTGAATATATCATCTTCATAACTGAAAGAGGACAGTTGTTTTAGATCCAAGGTGGAACTGAATTAAGTTACATAAGGCAGCTACCAATACTTTTCAGTGAAAATGAGAATAAATTGATGTGGCAAATGAACTCACATTTTTTTATTTTCTCTCTCTCTGCATGTCTGTCTTTGCCTTGTCAATTTGTGTTGTATTCTGCAAGGGTCAAAATCTGTTAGGTTGATTAAAATAAGTGATTTGTGAATTTTAATCCTGATTGTGTGTGTGTGTTTCTTTCTTTCTCCTCGCATTAGAATTTGGTGGCTTTGGTTCTGTAACAGGAAAAATTGAATGTGAAATTAAAATCAATCATGAAGGAGAAGTAAACCGTGCTCGTTACATGCCACAGAATCCTCACATCATTGCGACAAAAACACCATCTTCTGATGTGTTGGTCTTTGACTATACAAAACACCCTGCTAAACCAGGTATGTAATAAAGTCAGGCCATTGCTTCAGCAGTTTACTTGATTCAAACTGGTAATGTTTTTAAGGTCAAAGTAGCATACTTTATAATGTTTAAAGATTTAAAAGTTGCTTTGGAGGGTCCCATAACCATCCTCAAGTTCAGGAATTTGCCAGAACTGCCTAAAAGCAGTTTATACTCGGAGCTAAAATTTATTACAATAAAGGATTCAGAGCAAAAGTAGGAGGAAAAAGATACACATCAGGGGAAGTCCAAAGAGGTTAGCAACAGGTGTGTGGGTCCTTCCCATCTAGGGCCACATAGGACATGCTTTGTCTCTAGCAGCAAACCACAGGAACATTTGATAAATGTTTCTACCCAGGGCAGCTCATTTGGGTTTCAGAATCTGGGGTTTTTGTGGAGGTCTGTTTGCGTGGGCACATCCTGTTCTATGACCAGCCATGGTAACAAAATTGAGGCCTCCAACAGTGAAGCCAAATGCATTGTGAATCTTGCTAAACAATTCTACAAGTCTTGACAAGTCCCTATGACATACCCCACTGCTCTAGGCTTACACAAGTTTGTCAGTGACGTGAAGGACTTTCTAAGGGTCACATTCCCAGAGGTTGTCCAAGGGTCATTTATGAATCAGGCTACCCTAGAGGCATACAAGGAGTGAGCAACCAGACCTGCTGTATTAGAAATACTTCTAAAAATTGGGAGGTGGGGGATGGGGTTACCACTTCCCAAATTTGTGGGATAGCTATAGTTTTTAGTATTTTTATGTTGAGGGTAGTAGTAGGTTTTCCAAAGAAACCAATCATTTAATGGTACTGAGGCTCAATTTGCATTGGGTATTAAAAACGAAGCCGAGAGAACAGCTTTTTTTTTTTTTTTTTTTGAGACGGAGTTTCGCTGCTGTTGCCCAGACTGGAGTGTGCAATGGCACGATCTCGGCTCACCGCAACCTCTGCCTCCTGGGTTCAGGCAATTCTCCTGCCTCAGCCTCCTGAGTAGCTGGGATTA